GAAATTAATGTAGCAGGGATTTATTTATTTTAAACATAACATGTAATTTTAGTCTATGAATGCATCAATATGTTAAACTAGGAAAAATTACAAATTAGCAACTTGGATATACAGTGTGTGTAGTTCTCCAAAAAATACTGAACTTGTCTAAACCCACAGATGTTGACACTCTAGAACTAGATGTCTAATGTGCAGAGGGACACGTGGAGGCCGAGTCACAGTATCTTCATGGACTGCACTAGTTTTACTACATTTAGAAAGAATATAGGAAACAATGACACACACTACCAGAGTCAGACAAGAGTAAAGATCAGGATTAGAAAATATTAAATCTGTGGGGTTTGACCACTACGGGGTGCTGTAATAATATGACAATGTCAAAGTGAAACCAGGATTTAAAAATGTTTTGCAAATGTATTTCTAAAAACTGCGATCTTTCATTTACAAAAGTATTCAGACCCTTAATTCAGTACTTTGTAGAAACCCCTTTAGCAGCAGTTACAGCCTGAGGTTTCCTTGGGTAAGTGTCAAAAAGCTTTGGGAAGTATCTCTGAACTGACGTTTTCAGGTCTCTCGTGTTCTGTGGGATTAAATTCAAGCTGCCACAGGTGAACTCCAGTTCCATGTTCTAGTCACATCACCTGAACACAGTTTGCAGTGTCACAGCAAAGCGTCCGAATCCTTTTGTAAATGAGAGGTTTCAGTTTTTGATTGTTAATTTGCAGCTACATTTCATTTGTAGAACCCAATATCACTTATTTGCCTCAAGTTTTTACAATCTGTTGAACTTTCTAAAAGCATGTTTTGCTTTGTCATTATGAGTTACTGTGTAGACTTTTCAGCAAAAATGTCATGTTTAGCAATTTAAAATAAAATCTACAACATAGTGACGTGTGCAATTACTGAAAAGTCTATATAAATACTGTAGGTGTTTTACCAACACGTGGAAGCGCAAATTTAGTTTTATAGTTTAGAACTGTGATTATGTACATTCTCCTCCTTGAACCGCCACCTTATTGTGGTGGAGGGGTTTGAGTACCCGAGTGATCCTAGGAGCTATGTTGTCGGGGGCTATATGTCCCTGGTAGGGTCTCCCAAGGCAAACAGGTCCTGGGTGATGGGTCAGACTAAGAGCTGATCAAAAGCCCTTTATGAATAGATTAAAAT